CCCCAAAACCCCAAAACCCCATCAAGTTAAATTTATCGATTAATTGAGAGTGAATTAATTTTTATAAAAATGTACAGATAATAACCTACTCAAAATAAAATTCTTCAAAAATAGTGGAACGAATACGAGAGTCAGATTCACAACCAAAAAATAAGAGAAGTTAAGTCATCTATTGATTCAAGAGTTCTTAAGAAGAATGGCGGCACAAGAAACACTAAGAAGGAAGCCATTATGGAAGCTAGGTTCACTGAAATTGAAAGAGAAAACCGTATTCTTCTTGAAAAAATGACATCTATAATGCATCACTGAGGGCCATCCTTTTTAAAATCACCAAGTAATTCCATGGAAAATTTATAATAGTCGCATTATAGATATGCAGTTAAGAGCAAGAAGCTTGAATGGCTAAGCTAGAAGATAAAAATTGCTGAAGATAACGATTGAAAATTAGAATATACTGAAAAGACTCTAAGAAAAGTAGTCATTTTATAAGGTTTCTGATTGGGAAGGCGACTTCAAGAAGAGAGAAGCAATATTAGAGAAGATGTGCGAGTATCCATACATTTTACAATAGAGGAGCCCAAATCAAACATTTATGGTTGAATAGAACAACCAATCTTTACTTGGAGGGGGGCCTATGTCTTAGAACAACTCATTACTAGATCCATTTGGAGTCATGAGTGCTAATGGAAGTGTTGGAGGATAAAGACTGCCAAAACTTAATAATACAGTCTTAGATAATTACAGCACAGCTAATGGAAGCAATAGCACCTCCTATGGTGCTTGGAATAAATTGGCTAAGGGTGACTTGGTTGTTCGCTAAGCTAGCATCTTAGATGAAAATCGTATAGTGCTCTATAAGCGAGGCAAGCAGATAGCTAACGGTTATTATATTGTTGAAATTTCATCCAATAATTCGCATTTATTCGTTGCAGCCTATGATGTTGAAAGTCCTGAATCTCTGCTCATTGAAATACCAGAAACAAAGGCTCAACAAATATTATAATCATTTAAGAATGATTATGAATAGATGGCCTCTTGTCTGAATATCTCTAATAAAAGGCTTATGCTATTAAATCCTAAATATGCTGCAATAAAAAGAGCTGTGGTTTCTAGTCAGGGCTCATAGGCTTAAATGAACGTTTATGGTTTAAATGCTACTGCTAATAACTTCAAAATGAATGAGAGCTTTAAGAACGGGATAAATATCTAGAATAGCAATGCAAGAAGTATATCAGCTATGAATCTTAATCAAAGACATCATAATCGAGATCAGAGTTACTAGGATGGACCGGGAACAATAGAGCATGACGGAGGATTAACCAATAACCGGCCTTAAACTGATGCTAAATAAGATAGGTATAGTGGAGTATAAGCACTAAAGAACAACAGTATCCTAAATGGTTCTTCGAATATATCCAGCTTGAATAATGTATTCGAGAAGAGACATCAAAGCTCAAATCCGATAAGCAATTCTAACATTCTGTAATAGCAGTAGAATTTAAATAATACCAATAATGTGGTACTTTCTCCTCTGAATATATCAATTAATAATCATAAAAGCAAGAAAAATCTGGGAGATTAAAATAATTCAAAGAGCTACAATATATAAGACAAAAGTACAATGGATGAATAGATGAGGATGAGTTTCAACTAGACTTAGACTAATGAAGGCTAGAAGCAATAGCATTACAGCAGGTACTAAAATGAGAATGACATAGAAAACTACCAAGATATAGTTCAAAACTAGGCTTTTAATACTATAGTTTGAAACTGATCGATCAATACATTAATAAATATTTGCTACTTCATCTAAATCATTTTATCATTGTTAACTATTTTCAAACAAATTTGCACAAAGGGGTTTTGGGGTTTTGGGGTTTTGGGGTTTTGGGG